CTGCTATGATTCTATCTTTATGTGGTGTGTTTGTGTTTCTCCTCCTCCCGTCCTTGCCCTTGCCTTTTCCCCTCTCACTCCTCTACAGCAGAAATACCCTCTCTGCCCCAGAGCTATCTTTTTTTTCTAATCGTCCGTTTTCCTCCCGAATGATCGATAGTTCAGATTTATCTGGCAGTTTGAGAATAAGAACCGCTGTACTTCTTTTAGAACATTATTAATTATGAATTAATTACGTTTTCATGGATACATTTTAAGGAAAGGTTAGTTGTTCTTTTCTTGGTGGATTTGTTGAAAACAATGATACAATTTCAGACAAATCCTATTTTATTATGGTCTGATATCCCTAGAATCCCAAGGATTGGTTGGAGACATATCTTTTACAACTTGAATCTGACACATGAAAGAAACGACTACTTCCTTTAAAATAAAAAATGTACACATCAAAATACAACCTCAGATTAATCACAATGTGCCAAGTTTAGTTTGCGTACCACATCAATTAGGATTCAGGAAACTATTAAACTAACTCCAGCAGCAATAACCTGAAGTCATTTTCTGTTGAAGATGTCATGAGTATCTTGAATCATTGTGGAGGAATCCTGGCCAGTGTTCTGTCCTATATTGCTTCCATCAGCATAAATGGAATCATACATTGGTCCTTTAAGTTCCCACATCAGCATTTCAATCATGCTGATTTCTGGACATTGACTTTGACCCCTCTTCTTGATTGATAGAATTTGCATTGACGTACTATGTTTAGATTTCCCCGAGCATGCTGCTGTTCATTATGACCAAACATCTCCACCTCCACGTCACATGTGTAAAGGGAATCCAGACGTTTTCTGATTCGTTAATAGGCAACTTCACATACCTATGGGTTTCTGTCTGTCCTTTTTAAAGAGGACAGGCTTTCTATTGCAAACCTGCTAAAAGCCATTATTGTTTTGTTTTTCAAATCATACTGATATCAACTAATTAGCCAATTAGCATGCCCACTGAGGTTAACTGAGATGAATTAATAGCAAAGATTGCTTCCCATAATTTTCTGAGCTTGAGATTTCCTTATTACCATTCGGTCAACACATATCTGAATGAGTGAGATGAGTAAACTGTCAACATTTATTCTTTTGGTGCTCAGAAATAGTAATTATCAGTTAAGTCACAGTAGGTTAGATCACTTTTATATACAGCACCTGAATGCTACAATGGATACATTATGGGTATACAAAGCTATTTTCACTTCCACAAAGGATCGGGCCAGTTCATCAAGTCATGAAATTAACATTTAAATGCAAAAAAAAATGATTGCTGTACTTGATACTGTTGCTGTTTAGGCCACTCAACTACATTGTGGTTCAGATGTATTTGAAAAAGAGAAATATATTATTGGTCTAAGGCAGAAAAGAGCGATGGATGCAGTGGATGTAACGACTGGTAACTTACCTCGTTATAAACACGGAAACAGCAGAGCGCATCAGATTGTTGTCAAGAAATACAATAACCACAGAGAATGCGACAAGTCCAACTGCAGCACATCCATCAACTTGTCACAACAAACGGCCGCAGCCAATGAAACTAAGAATGTCTAAGAGTGTTACTTCTTATTGTGCTCACACTTTACTGTCTCATTGCTTTGCTGAAAATACAATTTTTAATAACATAAGACGAAAAACTCTGAGAACTGTCTAGACAGGAGGGAGTTTGATCTAAAAAGGCCTGCTAAAGTTTCTCCTTGAAAGCATACTGTTTCTGTGTAGAAAAGCTAATGAATAAATAGCGCAGTGTGTCACTATATCTCTTATTAAAAGTAGGTCTAGCTCATCCATCAGTCAATCTCTGTCTTCCTTCGTCTTTCTCTTGAACATAGAAACAACCATTTACCAACATTACTTTTAACAAAAATAAACTTACATTAAACAGTTTAAATCCCCAGTTGGTCTCACAATAATAATGACTCTAGTTTGTGTTTTTATATTTTCGCCTTGTATACTCAATTAATTATATTGTACTTATTTTGCAGAATTGATTTTTTGGATACGCAAAGACACAGAAATCAAAACAATGTGCCGGCAACAAATGCAGACAAGAGAGATTGTTGTGTTGTACTGTATAATAAACTCTATTTTGTTTCGCTGTCTGGCTTGGTTACTCCGATGAGCAGATCGCTTCTGATTGCATGCTCCAGTAGCATTCTTTTCATTACACAATGACAGATTTTGTGATCAGGACTCAACTGTGTGGACATTAGTCATCAACAACAGAGGAGGCAGCAGAACGCCGGTTGTGATACTTGGATTTTTTTTCTAGGTAAATCATACATGTGGGAGAGATTCTTCTTTGGAGTGTTTGTTGTTTATGTCCATGTCCACTGTTTTTCCGTGTTCTCTGTGTTAGTGGATGAATTTGAGACTTTTCAGAGAGAACTTATCTCTTCAGGGTCTGTATTTGGGTCCTCTTGGCTACATCTCAAGACAAAATCACAGAGATACAAATGACTTAGTCCCTACAGCTAATGTTGCTAATAATAATAATAATAATAATAATAATAATAATAATAATATGTTTGTTTTTTTACTTATTATCTAAAATTTAAATTTATTGAGCAATCTTTTCTGAAAACTGTGCATAACTGATCTTGAAATGCTTAAGCTGAATATTTGTTTGTATTTTTATTTATGTATATATGTCTGAATTGTCACTTTTCACCGCTTTAATTTCCTCTGCCTTTTTTGGCAGTGTGACAAGATGCCTGCTATAGTAATGCCTCACAAATGTGTATTGTTAGCACAATACTGGCAACAGTAGATACAGAAGGAGATGAAATGCTGAGACTTTTCAAATTATAGCAACAGATCAAATAATTGAATCTGCTGTTTAAATGAGTAAATTACAAACAACTGAAGAAAATCAGTCAGGGAGCAGATAAAGCTTGAATTTACACAAATAAATAGTACACAGACACCTCGCAACTTTTCCGCCAATATGTGATATAGACCTTTACAGAATATAAAAGCAGTAATAGGTCAGACTTGGTTGGAAATAATTTTTCGTCTGAATGCGGATTTCTTCGCTTTATTCATCTTTGAATTTTCTGAACACTGTATACTTCATGCCTTTTTGTGGGGAACAGACAGCGTTAATGGATGAGAGCTTTATTTTGCCACGGATTTATGCTTTTTTCGGTCTACGCGTCGTGCACCAAATGCTAAAAAACCCGCCCCAGGATAGACGATAGCGTGTGAAGAAAAGCACCCGGATACATGGCCCTACAAACACATTATGATGGAAATGCTTATGTCATTTTATATAATCCATGTGTGAGCACACCATGAGAGTTGATTGTATGCCCCTTCTCACATTGTCTCAACAGCGTTCAGTGAACTTGTATATTAAATAGATGATTCACGTTGTTATTTTTCATGCTTGCCACGCTCCCCCTTCTCTATTTAACTGATTCCCTATTTCTTCTTCTCCGCTATCTGTTTTGTGACTCTCCCCAAGCCATGCTTTGTCCACTCTTCCAGCCACGCCTACTGTTACCGTCTCTCTGCTTCCCACTGGTTGACTGAGCGGCAGTTTCATTTCCGCTCATGCATCCTTCTCTCTGCTGTCTTATTTTTTTTTTACTTTGAGATGGGTGTAGGGTGGGGGTGGGGGGTGGGGGATAATCTCTCTTTCAATCTTTCTCCCTCAAACATGATTGGTGAAGCTTGGTAGTTAATGAAGGAATTTCATGGGTAAACAGAGACGGGTAAAGACGTACTGATGTTAGTGCCGTCTCCCGTTTGTCAATTAGGCGACGAGTCTATCTTAGCTGAAAGACTCGCTATTAATCAGCTCGAGGTTTTCACAAGATTAGTTGCACACACAAAGGCTGTAAGCCTTCTACATCTTAGCAAAATCAACTCTTACACATTCGTCCCTCCCTACCAACTAGTCTTTTTTTGTAACTTTAGGGTTTATTAGTTGTCAGTCAGCCCTTCGGTTTTTGGGTTCATTTGAATTATTAGATGAAGTCAGTTTATGTAAATTGTCAATTTCCTGTTGCATGACAAAGCTAAGTGGTAAGGTCATAAAAAGGAATGGGAGGGTTAAAGTCACAGTTTTTACTGTTGCCATTCACTTTTTGTTATTGACATCTTCCCAATGCAGACCAATAATGGGTCTGAAACACAACTTGTGTATTTACCTAATCACATAGTTTTCCAGGCCAAATTTACTACGCCCACAGTTTTTACTTCCTGTTGTATTACCACGCAAAAAGAACAAAGACAAGTGACAAGCTTGACTAAAGAAATAATAGAGGTCATGAAAGGTAATGTAGGCAATGTCACATCTTCCATCTTTCTGTACAGTCTGTGGCATATTTTGACAGATTCAGAGCGAGGCAATGCTTTAACGGCCTGACGATGTCAAAAACCCAATAGCTGTTTCCTCTCTTCCTATTTATCACCACCAAAAGGTTGCCATGGTGAAAATGTTAGGACTCAGCTATTAACACATCTGTGAGATACAGTAAAAAGGGGCATTAACATTCATTAAGCCATGTATTTTTGTGCATCCGTACCTTGCTGTGTTTAAGTATTGAGCTACTCTAATGATTCTGGTCTAAGATTGCTATTATGTGGATGTAGAATATAAAAATGAGGCTTCTCCTTAAATTCAACATCCTTATATGCTTTTATGAGTAGGTAGCGGAAAAAATAACTAAGTAGTGGCTAAGAAACAAATAAAAAAATACAAAAAAAAGATCTGCCTAGAAAGCAGGCTTGAATCAAGTTGTTAAACAGTCTTGCAAATAATTAAAACATTCAGTATTACAGAGGTTTTTAAATAAATCTTCCATCATTAAGTGCGTTTCAAGTTCCAACAGTTTACTATTTACAATATTGGACAAAAAAATGTGAGTGTTAGGAGATGGCAAATACAGGGAATATATTAAAAAGCACCATATGTGGACTTAGAAGAGAAGCGGAGGAGGAGGTGAGTAATCTTACCATCGTCTCCTGATCCGGAGCCGGCATCTGCAGGAGAGAACAAACACAGTTATTAACCATGGGCACACGCAACCACAGACATTAGCTGAATAAGCGTGCGTCTGCATATGTAAGCGCGTGTCTGGGCCCGTTTCAATCTACGCTCGAGGTTGTGTATGAGCAGACAAGGCAGATGCAATTTTTGTTTTTGCGCGTGTAGTAAAGTGAGATGAAATACCCCTAACATCAGAGCAAAAATTGATCCTAGGAGTCAAATTTAAAAGAGAAAACAGGAAGAAAACAGCAAGTATGATAGAAGCGAGATGGAAAAAAGATGGAAGCCTTTTGCAGCGGCTGTGGGATGGAGAACTCACTGTTTCCAGTTGCAAATCTGTTTGTGTGTCAGCGAATCCTTTTCCATGGATTTTCCCACTGAATCTTTGTAAAGCCTCCTCAAACACACTAAGCTTACTGAACTGTTCAACAATGCAGCTGTGAAAGGGATACTCATGAGCACTTCGAAGCTCCGTGTAACTTGATCTGCCACATAAAGTGATCTGCTAAAATGCACAGTGCCAGAGATCAGATGCATGTGGGCCCTCAGAGGAAAGTAGAAGAATAATAGCTCAGCTCCATATAAATGCCCACGGGAGAAAAGCTTATAAGAAGAGGTGCGCAAAGTGAGGCCATATTAGCCATCGAATGCACGGAATCTGAGCAGACATCTGACACTGGCACTCATGGCATAAGGTCTGGATCAATAAAAAGCATTTTTGACCAAAACATGCAGGTCAGTGCAGCAGATGGTCAGAAGTGTCTGGGGAAAGTAGCTTTAAAAGCAGCTACTTAACGTCCTATGATCATATGTTTGGGTTACTACTGCCACACTATCCCTCCCTTTTTGGATGGATACTGTGGCAGTATCAAATAATGAAAGATATTCATTTATCCTCGAACCAATGGAGGGTTTCAAGACACTGATATAAAGAAATGAGCTTCCCCACGTTGTTAAAAGAAACAGCAGAAAAAGAGTAATCCAATTTAAGGTGATTCACTGTTACTCTTCAAAGAATTTCTTATATAAATTTGATCTGTCTGTGTCATCAATCCGTTGGAAACATTAATATAGTCATGGTGCAATGCACCATTTTCTGTGGTACTGTCCATTAATTACATTTTTTTTACTGTGGTTTCTGAGATGTTAGCACCCCTTAACCCATACTTTATATATTCAAACATTTTCAACTACAGTACTGTAGTGATTGTTTCAGCTTTGCTCATTTGTTTTAAGTAATTATTGTTCATGACTGTCTATCAATAAAGAACTATACATTCAATAAAAAAAAAAGTTTGCTTACATAAAATGCAATGGGTAAATTGAAATAGTTTTAGAATGACATATTTCAGTAGGATTTTGGCCTTCCTTGGTAACATTTGTTTAGCAAATACATAAATAAAAACATGCATATAAATTCATTGACAAATATGAAAAAAAATGTGAAAGAAAATGCTTTTCCGATTCTGCTTAATGAGTCTGCTTTATGAATGCCTCTCCACTATGTGTAATGTATTTCTTAGAAGCAGCACTAAAAGCAATAATTCTATTTTATCCTGTGTTGCCATGGAAAAAACACAAATATAGTCTGACAATGAACGGTGTATACTACATAAAACTGAAACATTGGATGACAAAGCAGAGCTGCTTACGCATAATAGGGCCATTTTTAGTGCAATGACAACATAATGAATGAAAGATATGTGTAGCAGGCAAACACAAACAGCCAGTACAGAACATTCTTATTCATGCAATTCTACAAAGTGATTGTTGTCCTCTGGGCTACAGATAAAAATCTAATCATCATCATAACACAACACTATTAAAAGCTAACAAAAAACACTTTGTTTCTGTATGTGGATACAAGTTATATGTGTTCCATTTATAGAACGTAAGGTTAATTTGATGCGGTTTGAGCGTCTGTAACCACACATATCTGTTATTTGTGGTCACTCTAGGGTAGAAATGATAAAGCTTCAGAAGTTTTTAAAACATGTTTTTTTATTGTGATGCTACATGAAGACTGTATATTTGATATTCTACTTCATTCCTTTCCAGTTCAATACATTTGCAGCATTGAGTATTTTAACACAGCTGTAAAAAAGTCAGACAATCCGCAAATTGTTTTTTTCATGAGAAGTAATGTTCAGATAACACAGAGCAAGGCTGACTAGTCAGGCATCGTAGACATTGTTCACTTTATATAAAAATACAATTTTGGTAGAGGAAAATAACCTCAGAACTAGAATCAACAGAATCAAGAACTAGAAGCAAGTGTATTTATTCAAGAGAAAGTAAGATAAACCAACATGAAAAGAGCACCACTGATATGAGATTAAATTCAGAATTTCACAAGTGAGGGTAGGATGGAAAGGGAGATTGGCAGATGGATCGGTGCAGCATCTGCATTGTTATGTCATGGTGAAGAAGGAACCGAGCCAAAAGGCAAAGCTTTTGAATTACCACTGGATCTATGTCCCTATCATCACCTATGGTCACGAGCTGAGGGTAGGTACCAAAAGACAGAGATAAAAGCAGCCGAAATAGGCTTCCTCTGCAAAGTGGCTGGGTTATCCCTTAGAGACTGGGTGTGAAGGTGTGTCATCCGGTAGGGAATGCTACCCCTCAGCATCCAGAGGAGCCAAATGGTACACCACTCCCTGGTGGAGGGTTACAGGCCATACCACTGAGAGGAGACCCTGGGGAAGACCCAGGACACACTGGAGGAACTATGTCTCTAGGCTAGCCGGACAACACTTAGGGATTCCCCGTATAAACTGGTATATGTGGCCAGGGAGAAAGAAGTCTGGGCTTCTACCCTTAGGTTGCTGCCCCTGGAAAGAGGTAGATGGATGGATGGATGGTTGGATGGATGGATAGATGGATGATTAATTTGAATCAGATTCACACCCCCACTCAATATTACGGAAATTACCAAGGGCTCAGGATATGGAAGTGGCTGTGTCGGCTGACATTCCTCTTTAATTGTCTGTGGAATGACTTACAGGAGTGAGTGGCCCCATCTTAAAAAAGGTGAACTGGAGAGTGTGTTCCAACTATAGGATCACACTACTCCCTGGCAAAGTCTACAGGGTGTTGGAGAGGAGGCTCTGTTAATTGTCAAACCTTCAGAATTTAGGAGGAGCAATGTGATTTTTATTCAAACTGAGGACCAGTTTACCCTTGGGGAGTGTGTGTTGAATTACACCAGGGCTGCCCCTTGTCACTGGTCCTTTTTGTGATTTTCTTTAATGGACAGGATATAAATGCATAATACATAACTCTCCTTTTTAACAGATAATGTGATTTTAAAGTAAAGGGGCCAGGACGACGCTCGGCTCTTCCAAATCTAAGGCCATGCTTCTCAAACGAATAGAAGTTGGAATCTCACCGGGTTGGGGGATGAGGAGGTGTATGGGTGTCTTATTCACAGTTGATGACAGGTTGGAGCAAGAGATGGACAGACAGGTTGGGCTTTTGTTAGCTGTAATGAGGTCATTTCTGAGTTGGAAGGCAAAGCTCTGAATTTACTGGTCCATCTTTGTTCCCACCCTCACTTACGGGCACAAGATCTGGGTTGTAACCAAAAGAACGAGATTACGGATACAAACGGTAGTTTTGGGTTTCTTTTGGAGGGTGGCCGAGATTAGCCTTAGAGATTGGGTTAGGTGCTTAACCACCTGGAGGGACCTCCGAGTAGAGCCTCTGCTCCTTAGCATCGACAGGAGTCAGCTGAAGTGTTTATAACATCTGGTTAGAATGCCCCTAGTAGCCCTTTTCATGGAGGTTTTCCGGGCAGGTCCTACAAGGACAGGAGCCTCTGAGGCATTGGTATATGGTATTTTTTACCACCATGGTGTTTAAAAGACTGCTTTGGGCAAGAGTAAATGATGGGTCCGATGAATAGAACATCACTTAATGATGTTTGTCTCTCTTCCAGGGCTGGTGAAGCCCCAACAACTTTTTAAGACGGTGGTTTGAGCCAACAAACCCAACAGAGTAATGGTAATGGGTTTCTCAGAGTTTAAGCATCACTTATTCAAGACTGAGTTCTCCACAACAAGCGCTGAATGGTACTAAAATGGGTCATCAAAACAGTTTATGGCTTTGCTACTACAGAATAGTTCTGCAACCCTGCTCCAGGTGATCTCCATCCAAACAAACAGACGCAGCATCTTTTTTCAAAGGTCTGATCCTGACTTTGGTTTGTATCTTTTGCAAAGAAGCATTTAAACAGAAGCAGAACGATGACCTCAAATACTTTTAGAAAAAAAACACATAAAAAATGTCTCAATCTGAATTCAATCCTAAAAAAATAAGAAATACTGAATCTTCATAGCAATTAATTGTAGGTGAGGCCAAGTACAAACAGAAAAAGAATTTGTTTTGAGCAAGAACATTCCACAGTGCATCTTGCGTTTTTAGAACAGAAAAAACTCCCTTAACACCTTAGAATTTGTCCTCCACCCTGCCTTCATTCCTTTTAAATCTGCTAAATTTTATTAGCCTTGGAGCACGAGGGATGCTAAATGTGCAGTTTCATGAAAAGGCTTCACTTAAAGGATCAGAACAAAGTCTGTGGAAGAAGATCGTAGAAGATCAATAAGAAGCGTTAGTATCTGTGCAGGGCAGAGGTTTGAGGTGAAAGAAGACAGAAGTAAATATAGATAAAGAAAATAAAACCGGAGATGGGCACCAGTTTGTATTTTTAGCTGCTTGTGTGTTGAATGAGGGGTCAAAGAGGGGGGGGATACTAACTGTTTAAAACATTTATTTTTTATCCTGTAATCTCTGAAGGCTGAATACTGGAGAGGAAAAAGATAACCTCTGTTGATGACAGAGTAGCTCAGTTGATGATGAAAGTTTTTGTTAATTTAAAAGAAACATATTAAAAAAGTAGAGAGGTCAAAAAGAAAAAACTACAAACTGTTAAAAAAACGTTTTTTTTATCCTGTAATCTCTGGAGACTGGATACTGGAGGGTAAAAACAGTA